TGCTTCCCTAAGTCTCTGATTGTCTTTCCGGCCCCTATTCCAACACCCCGTTTTCAAGGATGCCTTTCCAATCATCACAGACCGGTACGATCGCCCTCCCCCTGCCCCTTTCAGCTGCCCCTCTCCTCACCTGCCAAGTAGTTTATCCGTGATGATAAAACTCACCTGGAGGGTGACAATCCAAAGGGCTTTAACAAATATGGAGCATCCACTCCGTGCTCTGTGGGATATTAGGACACTATTTATATGAATGTTTTATTCCCAGCTCCTCTTTCTCATCTGTCCATGAGATTATGCAACATTTTGTTTACGTTAATTTCACTCTCCTCTCCTTCGCCTGCTGGATGCGGAGGGAACCACAGGTCTTTGCGGATGAAGCTGGGCCCCAGAATCACCGTAGGGAGCAGAGCCCCGTCCCCAGCTTGCATTGGATTATGAGGTAATCATGAGAACCAAACCTGCTAATTAATAGGCCACCGAGATTTGGGGGGTCGTTTGTCACAGCAGCTAGCGCTCTAACTCATACGAAGGTACCGGTGTTTGCACTTCCGCCTTCACCCCCGCCTGGCACACAGGAGTCCGTAATTTCCTCCTCAGTCCCCACTCTGCCTCTCCTTCGCCCCCATGTGCGGACCTGACCCATCACTCCCCTCCTCGTACTCTCTTAGGGCTCCCCCATGTCCTTGGAGGTTTCCCTCTCCATCTCCTCTTCCCCCTCCCAATTCTTAAAAGTCAGGGTGCTCCCCAGGGGCCTTCTTTTCTTCCCTGGACACTCTCTCCCAGGTGACCTCTGCTACTTCCTCTGCACCAACGCACACTCCGGCCCTGTGCGGCTGCGGTCAACTCCGGCTTCTCCAGGTCGTCAGCTTAACTCGGGGCGTTTGGTGCTAGGACTCCGCGGATGGGCTTTCAAGTCCCGCTGATGGGAAGACGAGGACCAAATGCCTTTGGGGAAAGCGATCGCTCTGTGCCGTGGTGAGTTAGGCGCGATTTTAGGCAGACTGGAGAAAACCCAACCGTGCTCCGGATGGCGGCATAGTCCCTGATTCACTTTGTGTCTCTGCTTCCGCTGCCCTCTCCAGGGGGGAGCAGAGCTGATGTCCTCCTCCCTGGAGGGGCTGTGGGTGGCTCAGACCTGGGTTTTGATTGATTTTAAAGGGAAGAGGTATTAGGATAGGGGCGGGTGGTGTAGAGAGTGGGAAGGGTGCAGAGCTGTAGGATGCTCGGGAGAGAGGATGGGTTGGGGGGGCTGCCAGGTAGAGACTGCCCTCTACACTCCCCTTCAGAGTGAGGGCTCCTCTCTGTGCCCTGCCAACCAGAGGTATCCACGCCCGTGCCATCTCCATGCCTACTCAGCCGCCTTGGGGAAAACAAGGGTGTGGCCTTTGGGACAGCAGATGCTACTGTCCCAGAGGAGACCCGTCTCCTCCCGGGTGCCTCGCCTGTCTTACTAAATGACACTACCATCTGCCCAGTCCGTCAGCAAGAAACTCATCTCCCCTCTCCCCAGTCTTCCCTGCAGAGCCTGTTCCCTCTCCTCTTTATCCCTCTGCCCTGCCTCCCTCCGCTCAGGCCCCCCGCCCCACCCCAGATGTGGGCTCCACAGCAGGCTCTGAAAGGTCTCCCTTCTCCAAACCGATCTGCGGTTGAAAACCCCAAAACATCAAGGCAGTGGTTGCCTCTGGGAGGTGGTGGCAGCCAGCATTGACCAGGAAGGGGCGTGGGGAACATTCTCATCTTACAGATGAGAATGATCTGTATCCTGATAGGTGTTGGGTTACACAGGTGTATGAATTTGTCAAAATTCTGCAAGTATATACTTCAAGCATGTGCGTTTCATTGGATGGAAATTTTACATCAAAAGAAAAAAAATGCAAATATTGAACTGTTAAGGATACGCATACCGAAGTATTTAGGGGACAGTGGTTGGACAGACGTCTGCAATTTACTTTGAAATGCTGCAAAAATAAGAAAGATTGATGGATGCATGGAGGGATGGATAGATACGTGGTAAGACTAGTAAAATGTCAGTGGTAGACTTTAGGTGGTGAGTATACGGTGTTCACGCGAAAATTCAGCTTTGCTGCCTGCACAAACATTTGCATAATAAAATGATGGGGAGAAATGTCTCCTGCCTCCCAACTTGTCCCCTTCATCGCATTATTCCCATCTGCAACTGGTGTGGTGTTTCTAGGACAGCAAATCCGGGGGAAGCCCACCCCTGCTTGAAGCCCTTCAGCGCTCCTGGGGGACCTTACTTCCTATGGCTTCCCGGGCCATCTGCGGTTGGCCTCTGATGACATGATGGCTGGGGCTCTGTTTTATTCGTCTGGCCTCATTGTCTATTGCTCCCGCCCTCACTTTTTCCACCACCAAAACACCAAAGAATTTGTGCTTCCCCGCATGGACCATGCTTTTCACAGCTCCTGTGGCAGAAATTTCTAGTTTACATTCAATTTACCTTCTTCCCTTCTTTCTAAGTAATAGATGTCCCTTTTTTTTTTCAGTTTCAATTTACTTTATTAAAATTTATTTTTGTTGAAGTAACATTGGTTAATAACATTACATCAGTTTCAGGTATACCGCATTATAATTTGATATCTGTATACACCACAGCGTACTCACCACCAAAAGTCTAGTTTCCATTTGTCACCATCTATTTGACCTCCTTTACCCATTTCACCCTCCACTGGCCCCTCTTCTTCTCTTGTAACCACCAATCTGTTGTCTGTATCTGTGAGTTTGTTTTTGTTTTGTTTGGAATGCCCGATTTTTAGCTGGGGATATGGTCATATGGAAATAAACACTAAATTTTCCAGGCTCCCTTGCACAGAGGTGTGGCCATGTGATGTGCAGTGAGAGAAAGTATTGATTATGACTTCCTGAAAGTGTCTCTAAAGGTAGGGAGCACGACCTCTTTCACCCTTTTTGCCTTCCTGCTGGTTGGAATGATGACATGATGGCTGGGGCTCAAGCAGCCATCTTGGTTCAAAAGGTAGAGGCCATGTGCGTAATATGGCAGAGCACTAAAGTAGATTGAGGCTAGGTTCCTGACACCGTTGTGTTCCATATCAGCCCTGGACCACTACCTCTGGACTTCTATATGAAAGAGGAAAAATATTCTCTTGTCGAAGCCATATTATTTTGGATTTTCTGTCATCTGCAACCAAACCTAGTCCTAAAACACTAACTTCCATGTCCTTAAAGGTTTTGGTCTTTGGGCCTGGAATATCCTTTCCTCACTTTGGAAACCTCTGTTGATTCTTCAAATTCCTACTCAGGCATCACCTTCTCTGTTACACGTTCCTTGGTGAAATTAATAATTTCCTCCTTTGTGATTCCTTCATTCCTTATATCACAGTGAGCAATTATTGAGCACTGACTGGGTACCAGGCACCATGCTGAGTCCTGTATGTGCACGCCCTCTTTTAATCTACATAACAACATTTGAGATAGGTAATTATTTTCAAATTTCTCATTTTACAGATAAAAAGACCAAAGCCCCCCCCCCAAAAGTTGTGATGCTTTCCCTGGACCACAAAAATCAAAATACACGGTTGGGCCGAGCATCTAAGCCAAGTGTCTGGTTCCCTATGCTTAACTGCCTCTGTCACTGTCCTTACCACAAAGCGCTGCCAGCATCTGTTCACATAGCCCTCCCTCCCATGGCCCCCTGAAGCTCGTGGACTGCGTGGCGTTCACCTCGGCCGCCCCAGACAGAGCCGTGAGCGTGCGCATTTGTGGAACTGAACTGTCCACTCCAAGTCCCCTCGCCCTGGTTCTGGCACTGGAGAGCTCTCCCAGGAGGCCTTGCCTCCTACAGCACCCCCGGCCCTGGGCACCCTGCGTCCTTCGGGCTTTTGCACACGGTCTGTTACCTCTGTTAAGGAGAACTTTCCGAGCGCCCCCTAACACTGTAAGAGCCAGCCCGATCGTCGCCTCTGCTGGGAGGTCTTCTCTGAGGGGCCTCGGCTGCCTCTCTGCCCTCCCATCGTCCTCTGCTCGAATCTCTGTTGCTTTCTGAACCCTTCGGGGCATTTCCTCCACTCCGCCTTGAGTCCCTTGAGAACAAGGTCTTCTTCATCTTTTAATAACTTGGAAAACCATCCCTGGTCGGTGCCACGTGTATACAGATGGAAAAAGGCCCCGTCCTGGCTGGCTGGGAGGGCGAGTGGGTGAGCAAAGTTGCACAGAGGAAGCGGCCCAGCCAGAGATGGAGGTTTTTCTCTTTACCACCACTAGATGGCAGCAGGGCCAGCCAGTTGTCAGCCTTCCAACTGTCTGCCTTCGCCTCCAGGAAGCCAAGACGCTGGATGACTCGGTTCAATAAAATAAACATTCGAAGAGCTTACCGACCTGGCCTTTTGCTATGTGCTGTCAGAAAGGTGAGAGGGGGAAGAGGAAGACTCCAAAAGTTAGACTAGTTCCCAGCTGCGAAGCATAAACTCTGACACCAGACTGCCCGGGTTCGAATTTCATGCTTGGCATTTCCTAGCTGTGTGACCTTGGGCAAGTTCCTTAACCTCTCTGTGTGCCTCAGTCTCCTCGTGTGTAAAGTGGAGCTTATAAAAGTGTCTATCGAAAGGGCTGCCAGGAGGGGCCGTGCCCCGCAAAGTGCCGTAAGTACAGTGTCTGCCTCTGAGGAAGCTCACAGGGTAGCCAATGGGGAGCTGCACCCCGAAACAGAGAGAGATGAGGAACACAGAGGGGCAAGAGGACGCACCTGCTGGGAAGGGGATGGAATGAGGGGCGAGGTTCCTGGAGGGGGAGCTGTTTCCGTCAGATGGGACTGGAGTGGCCGGGGGGACACGTGGTTGCGGGGAGGCCGTGGAGGTGGGGCTGGGCTCCATCCAGGTGACAGGTGCAAGGTGGGGTTGGAGGAGCCGTTCCAAGGCTGGGGAGTAAAGAGGAGGGAAAGCAAGGCTGCGTCCCCAGGCTACACCTGTCGACTGGGATATCGGGATCCTGTGTCCCTGCCAGACCTCCTCCATCTAACCCCCTTGGGCCTCCAGGGAGAGGTGAGGACTTGCTGTGGAACTGTATTTTTAGTTCCCTGTGCCTCTCCCCAGCTGCTATAAGACACCTCTCCCCACCCCCCGCCCTGCCACCTGGCTGGAGGCTCCATGAGGACAGCTGGGGAGAAGGGGAGACATGACCAGTATGGTGTCTGCTAGAGGGTTGGGGAGGAGTGGGTGGCGGGCCTGTGTGGGATCTGAGGCAAGCTTGGGGATCCCGCCGCCCCATCAAGGGCCTCAGGCAGGTCCTGCAGGCTCCAGGCCCCAGCCCTGCTCTGAGTCTGGCCTGGCCCCGGGCCAGGAGGGCAAACTCTTCCAGGAAGGAGCAAACTGAGCGGGGGCGGGAGGGAGGCACAGCCCAGGCCGGCCTCCAAAGGCGAAGTTCCCAGGAGGAGGGGGAAGAG